CACCGTGATGGCTAGCCACCTAGTATGTTGGCCACACTGTACACTTGACTGGTGGAATTCAGTCTGCGTCAAACAAAGGACTAGACACATTACAGTACTAGTTACTAACTAGTGTGTCTAATCAAAGTATCTAATACAGTAGTCCTCCAGGAGGTCAGTCACGATCCCGAATAGTTCAGTGGTAACATCTCTGAGTGCACCACTGGATGACGTGGGTTCGAATCTCAGAAGAGTCATAAGTTCCTTCAAGGAGGTTGCAGATATGCCTTACTGACTGGTGGGTGCCAATTAGTATGAAACCTAGGTCGAAGGCTTCCTCCTGATTGCCTCCAAGCATTTAATATCAGTGATTTTTCTTATCAGATATTCCGTAGTATCTGAAATGAATGTTATAGGTGTTTAAGACATGCTATATTTGAATATGAGGAGACCGACTGTTGTGTAACATCTCGCGACAGGCCATCTCTCGAGTGTAAGGAAGGTGAATGAGGAACGACGAGTTGGCCGTGAGTCCATGGATGATATGTAGGAGAAGATCATGTGAAGAGCAGAGGAGTGCCTATCGGCAATCGTGGAGTCAGCTAAAAGAGGACTCCGGAAAACGGGATGCCATGAATATGTGCTGTTAAAGCCATATATTCTAGCTAGAACCAAAGTCGTTGTTACTATCTTTACTTTTTATATTGATGTCATCTAATGTTAACATTAACCCATATGAATCAAGGTGAAGCCATTTTGGGGATCTAGACTCCTCATCAATAAGGTTACTAGTCGGCGATCAAGGTCTTCATGAGGTCTACAATGCACTAGATAGTCGCCTCTGTAAGAAGTTTACTGTTGGACGCAAATATTATTCTGTCTGTTTTCGACATAGAACTTTGCACATATGTGCGGCAGTTCAAGTCGCCGAACTCCACGTAGCACACAAAGCAAGAGAAGAAAGTAGAAGAAATGCATATTAGAGACAGTAAACAGGGATATGGGACAAAAGGAATAGCAATAACGAAGAACAAAACAGTTTCATTGGAAATTATATGTCACAAGGAGTGGATGCATCTGCGCCAGTCATTGAGAACGATTTTGAGCCATGTCACCAATTGTTTTCAACCATTAGTTTTTACCGTCCCGACGACCCCAACCAGTCAGGAAGTCTACACCTTCCTACGTGGCCTAGACTAACTGTTGTAGATTTCACTGACTGGTGCCATGTTTTCGTTTGACCGCCGCTAGCTCTTTTCCAGCCTGACCCTATGTCAGCTAACATTGCCCATAGTCGAGGAAGGCGATGACTAGGCATACGTAACACATGTCCTAACCATCTCAGTCGATGTAGCTTCACAGCCTCGTCGATTGATTTCCCCTCCTTACCTAGCCTAGCAGTCGACGCCTAACCTCAATATTGCTCACCTTATTATACCACTTCACACGGGAGATAGAACGCAGACACCTATGATCGAAGACAACTAATCTTTTCATGTCTTCTGCTGTCAATGGCCAGGTCTCACAGCCATAAAGGAGGACGGAGCGGACTGATGAGCAGTACACACGCCCTTTGGTCGATAGTCGGATATCGCGTCTACGCCAGAGACGGCGTAAACTGGCATATGCGAAACTAGCCCTCTTTATCCGTACTGAGATTTGATCAGAGATCAACCCTTTAGCTGGGTGATGGTACTTCCCAAATAAGTGAAGTGGTCAAGGTGCTCTACCAATTCACTTCCTATGTTTAAACTAGGAATCAGTGTAGTCCAGTCTTGCAACATCACCTCACATTTGACGGGAGCGAATCGCATGCCAAACATTCGTAGATTTCAGCTCAAGGTGTTCAGTAGACTCTGCATTTTGTCAGCGTCCTCGCCTAGAAGGACTATATCGTCTGCATATTCTAAGTCGACGAGATTATTCCCTGGTAGCAAGTCAATCCCTGAGTCGCCGAAGTGAGTTAGGGTTAAATCCATTAGTACATCTATGATGAAGTTGAATAGAAATGGGGATAATGGGCATCCTTGACGGACGCCACTAGTCGTCACCACTCCAGATGAAAACTCGCTGTAAGCCCTCACCTGGCTGCATGAGTACGAGTAGATTGCCTTAATCAGTGCAATGTATTTTCTTAGCATTCCCTTTACAGCCAAGCATCGCCAGAGTACCTCTCGGTCGACAGAATCGAATGCCGCCTTTAGGTCAAGAAATATAATCATTGTTGGACGCCGGTAGGAATGCCTATGTTCTAGAATCTGTCGGAGGGTGAAGATATGATCAATGCACCCTCTTCCTGGTGTGCCTCCCAAGCACCACTTAGTCTACTCAATATTATTGAGCCTAGGATTTTAGATACTATATTAGTCAAGCTAATCCCTTTGTGATTATCACAAGAAGACTTGTCTCCCTTCTTGTATATCGGGATGATCAGTGACTTACACCAACCCGATGGGACTTCCTCTGATTCCCAGACGCTGCCTAGAACCTCAGTTAATGCAGACAGTAAACTGTCTCCACCGTACTTAAATACCTCTGAAGTCATTCCATCAGGTCCCGCTGCTTTGCCTTGTTTCAGATTAGTGACAGCTTTAGTAACCTCAGTTAAGGAAGGAGGACAAATATTACTCATATATATTTATATATTTATGAATATATATATATATAAAACATTTTGTGCAGTTAAAAAGCATATAGTGCGACCGGCTATTGTATTATTATTATTGTACAGATTTGCAGTTAGAATAGGCATTTGGAGAGTATACATTTTCATTGTATAATTTTTGTTCACGCAGGACACGTTCGTGTTGTCTTTGAGCTCGTTCAAGAGTTTCACAAGCTAAGCGTGAACTTAATTCCATAGATTTTTCTGAAAGTGAACTACAACTAGTCAACGATTCTGTTTCATCTAATGATCTTTGCTTTCTTGGGCATGAATTTCGAGTTTTCTCTCCCACCTGATGGTGATGATGATGATAATCTTGATAGTCTGCCCATTTATTGTTAGTGCATGGATCACATGCTCGACAATCGCCTTCGAAACTTGTTCGAGGTGGATCATTTTCAGACTTTAAGCTACAATCTGAGTTGTAGTGTTGTAATTCATTTTCTGGAGTATATTTCGTATTACCTGGTAACATGCCTACATAGTTGTTGTCTCGTGGACAATTAACATCATAATGTCTATATTCTGAGCATGGATGTGTGTACACCGGTTGGCAATGATGGTGATACTGTGGATTTTGTTCGTCTTCTGTATCAGAACAATCCTCTTGATCCATTATCTGTGCAACATTATAACTGTCTAGCATTGCTCTTCTCCGCTGACTAGCTAATGGTTCGTTGTACGGATCAGAAACCAAGTCTGTAGATGGTTTTCCAGCTCTTGGCATTTGTAGACTTTCTTTGTATTTTTCAATATTTTGCATATAACTTTCTTCGCTTGGTGGATCCCAGTAACCAACTGAATCAGATTCTAGTTGGGCCAAGTGTTCACGTGAAAAGTGGGATTCCCTGTCACGTTTTCGATATTGATCAGCTTTTTCGCGTAACACTACTAGCTCTTGATACCAGTTGTACGGTAAGTTGCTGTTGTTCTCTGTTGTTGATGCTGGTCGATTAGGCTGAGTACTACTTAATAAATCTGCATAATTAAGATATTTTGCATTATATTCACTGATATTATGGCTAATCTTTTTTGGTATTTTTGAAGGTGGAGTCAGTGCTCGAATTCTCCGCTTATTTGCATCGCCATCAGTGTCTTTTATCTCTCTAAATCCATAGGCTGATACTGGACGTCTTAATGGAATAATATTCACATTTTTCTCATCTCTTATTATTTCAGTTGATTTTAATTGGTCTATTGGAACATATTTAAAGGGCTTGTACTCATGTCTGTATTCTGTATCGTAAGGAATTGTACGACCTTGAAATTTATCCAGTTTACATGATGCTGATGTTGATGGTCGAATAAATTGTGTTGAATCTAGCCGGTAATTCATTTGTGGTGCTTTAAATGCACTCTGATACTCAGAGATACGAGCGTTTTCAGTGGCGTATTTTGTAACTTTAGGAATCGCGTACTTTTGATTTTTTTCTTGTCCATACTCTTGAAGTGGAGTTTTAATACTCCTGTCTTGACGTGGAGCATCTGGAACGCAAATATTAACTGAATGCTGGTTAACGCCTACTGGTTTAGAGCAGTTCGTATCAGTTTTCACTTGCTTTCTATTCTGTTTTATTTCCTCTTTTTCACGTAATAGTCTTTTTCTATTGTCAATCTCATTTCGTATACGTCGTATTTCTGCTTCTAAAGCTTTATGTGTTCCATCTGTCTGGATAGCTTCGTCTATTCGAGTTCTATGAACAGTTTGTGGCCTTTGTTGTATTTGCCTACAATCGTGTTGGTTCGCTGTTGTCTGTGTTGACTTTTTCAACATTTTATCAGAGTTCTCTTTTCGCTTGGGTGAAACACTACGGGCATTACGTTTCTGGCTGTTTCTATAAGCGATAGGATGTGTGAATTTCCCATCAGATGGACCGATTACAAAGTAATCGTCTTCTTTTGGATTTGAAAATTGTTTGTTTAAATTAAATCCGTCAGGGAATTTGAATTTTCGTTTTTTCTGGAATAAAGGCTCTTCTGTTATTGTTTTGCCCATTAATAATAATAATAATAGTAATGATGTAAGAGTGAGGTAGTTTCAGTGTGTTGTTCACTGTTGGTATTATTCACATCCGATGATCTAAATAGAAAAGAATCAATACAGAATGAGAAGATTAGTCATATAAAGTATATGTGATCCTAGTTATTAACATTGTATAACTTAACTAACACTAAAATATGATCTTTAGATCGTGGGATGGAAGTTGACAATCTGTTGTACTCCGGTCCAGTCGGCTTACCACGGTCAACGAACTTGGTCTTATAAAATGTCTCCAGTCTCTGAACCCTTCTTGTAGCCTAGGTCCAGATGGTTTGCCTAGTGTTATCCTTAAAAAGTGTGCAGATATCCTGTGTTATCCTCTCATGGATATATTTAATGAATCGTTTTCCAGAAATGTGAGGACATTAAAATTGTACCTATACCTAAGTCGTCTACTGGAACATATTTTAAGTTTAGACCTATTGCTATTACCTCTCCTTTTCTAAAAACTATGGAAAAGTTACTCTTAATTAATCTTCAACCTTCACTTAAAGCCTTTAACGATCCCAAACAATTCGCCTATAAACACAGTAGAAGTACTTTAGATGCAGTTGCAGTATTGTATCATAACATTGTCTCCAGCTTAGACAAGGGGGCTAAATTTGTTCGCTGCACCTTCCTAGATTACACATCTGCTTTCGACTCAGTACCTAGGGACATTTTGTTAAAGAAGCTTGCTGAAACTCAAACTAACTGTTGGGTTGTCAAATGGCTGCATTCTTATTTCTCAGGAAGAAATCAGTACACTGTATGTCAGGGAAAGTCGTCCACTTCGTCGCTTACTGAGGCTGGTGTCCCTCAAGGCGCTATCCTTTCTCCTTTTCTGTTTTCTTTCTTCTTGCATGACTTGCCTCACTATGATGAAATGAACTTTTTTAAGTATGCCGATGATCTAACTATTTCAATATCTGTTAACTCCCAGCTAGATTGTACTAAGATGAACAGCTTTCTATCAGGAATTAGCAAATGGTCTACATCTAACGGCCTTAAACTAAATCCTTCCAATTGTCAGACTGTTAATTTCAGTTTCCGATGTAAAAGAAAGTTAAATGAAGCTGTTGGTTCCTATGACCCTTGCAAAATTGATGATACTGATATAGAAACCAAGTCTGAAGTTAAGTATCTTGGATTAATTCTCTCTTCTGACCTATCCTGGTCTTCCCATGTCTTAGCGATTTCTAAAAGAATATTTCGTCTGACTTTTTACATTAAGAAGTTAAGGCACTATCGGGTATAACTCAACCAAACCCTCCTCTTACAGTTTGTCAACTCGTGTATTTTACCTATTCTTCTTTACTGTTCACCCTTGCTTATTCTTTCCTGGATTGCTTAAAAAGGACTATGTCATACTTCGTAGAACTCTGAAGACTAGCTGTCAGTAGGGCGAGTGGTGGTATCCCATTGGGCCAATAGATTCAATACTCTATAACATGCTAAAATTTTCAAACTGAATCGACAATACTGTTTGAAACAAACTCACTGTTATTATTATTATTATATCTAATATTCTCCATTCGTATTTCGAATATTTTTGACTTTATATCGTAAATGTGGACAAATTCCTCTGGTTAATTTTGTTTTAATTTTTAATTTTATTTATATTTTGAGTAAATCAGATGCAATATTGTGAGAAATGCTGAGAATTCCATTCTGTATTATAAGTACTGCTTTTGGAATAAAGTAGTTTATTATTACTATTATTGTTATTACTATTATTATAACCTGTGGATTCTGGGTCCGATCCCTGGCAAGGTCGTGGGTGCACGCGGTTGAGGACTCCTAAAGAAAACAGGAGGACACAGCTGTCCTGTGCACCCCTCTGGTTCTGAATAATAGCCAATTTGAAGTATAGCTATCCAGGAGTGTGAATACGGCAATGACCTTGGACGCAAGCTACTATGCCACCGCTGTGATCGAAGTGAGGTGCAAATTTCTTTCGATTAAACACTAGTTAGTAACTGGTGTCATGTGTGACTAGTCCTTCGTTTGATACAGACTGAATTCTATCAGTGACAAGAGTTCGAATCCCATAAGGGACATGAGCTCCTTCAAATAGGTTGCAAATACACCTTACTGACAGGTGAGTGCTAACAAAGACGAAACGTCGGTCTAAACAAGATTTCCTGCCGATTCCCACCGACCATCTAATAACAACAATTCAGGGTGCATCGTGATGGTTAGCTACACTGCAAACTTGATTGATAGAATTCAGTCTGCAACGAACTAAGGATTAGACGAATGACTTAACTTAGTATCTAGTGTCCAAACAAAATAAAACTGCATTCTTTAAAACCGCAGTTTTCTGAGGTAAAAGTAAATTTCTCCCACTATACAGCAGTATCAAACATTACGTCTTCATAAACCTACACGCACTGATAGCATCACTGACATTCAAATACAAAAAAAACACAACAACAACAACCGTATTTTCGGATTATTAATTGTGTATCCAATAAGAAAGAAATTATACACCTAATATTGTATTGTAGAGTGGAAGAAAGCCATAAAGCAATTAATAGTTAATTACATGTGATTGGATAACTTTGTGAAGAAAGGAGGCTAATTGATACAGGTTATCTTGCCTATTTGATGATGATTTCATTGAATAGGGATTACACAGTTAAGGCAGCCTTAATACAAAATTAGATAAATCGATTGAAATTGATCGATGTGAATTACACAGACAGACTATACACTGATTAATTAATTAGTTGATTAATTGATTAGCTTACACCGACCATATGTGTGTCTCGGTGTAAATTAGGCAAAGTAAACTAGACAGAGAGAGAGTGAATCATTCACTCTCGTAAAAATCATTGGGCCGACAATTATTGTAGAATAATGTAGTCTATTAATCAGTTGGAAATTGAACCTGATCGATCTAGATTCCAGAATAGAAGTCGAGTGATGAGAACAATGTTTCTATTAAATGGTCATTCACCTCTTCGATAATATACGTAGCTTAATAGGACACGTCTTTGGGTGAAGGTAGTATCTAGTGAGCTGTATGGACTTTTCCACATTTGCAGATATACTTCGATGACGAATGTCAGTAGACCGGATTTTCACATAGAAGGCACACTGTTGACTAACTCGTGGTATTAGTCAGAGGGTTATACGGTGTCATATCATTCACTCAACTCACACTTGTCTCATCCAACACGTGTTCGATCAATTTCAAATAACTCTGATAAGTAAGTGGTCACATTCAATACGATCTGGTGGCCGATTCAAGCAAACTGTGTACGGTCTTCAGGCTGTGAGTGTGTTGCAGTGAACTCAAGTAAATATGAATGAATTGGACATATTGCTGAACATTTCCCACATCTCCTTGCTTCTATCCCGAACAGAAGCTTCGGGATCAGTCTATTCACCACTCTCTGTGAAGCTGATGGCGATTCGACTGATAGTTTCAGTGGTTTGAATAGAAATGAGAAGACTGCCAACATAGGGTGACTGAGGAATTCTTGAAATAAGTGAGGGATGGTTAAACAGATGACCAAACGTGTTCTGCTCCCAGCTCATCATTTCTCTCAAATATCGTAACCATCTGTTCTCATTCAACTAAATTTTAATTATTTCACAATAGAAATACACACAAATCATGATTAACCAACACCAGCAACACCCCCACCACCAACAACAACAACAGCAACCAGTGTACTGATAGGTGATGGATGGATTTACATGAATATTGTAGTAATCGATAAATATCAGTTTAAAATTCACATAAAATACACGTTTATCATTGTCGATTCATGCACTTTGTTCATTCATGATTGTGTAAATGCCAAAAAATGGATTTGTTTAGTGTGTGTAACCGTTGAAATGTGAACGTGATCAATCATGTCAGGTGTGGTTACCATCTATCTATTCATTTCACACATTTATTTGTTGAAATTAAATTTGTGGATCACTGTGATGTAAGATCCGTTCTGTTACTGATAATAGCAATATTGATTTCCAGTGGGTAAGTGCATCACAGAAATGTGGTTACATACGTGGAATGTAGTCACAAAGTTTAAATTTTCATTCACCAGTCCCAAAACACCTGTTGTCAGTTCTCTTAGTCTCCTATTATTATTCTTATCACTGATAGGCATCAGATTTAGTGAGTGTAACTCGAAATTTCACAGTTAGCGCGTTTATGAATAAAAGTTGAATATATTTACTGAATTGATGAGTCAATTCTGTGCTGTCAGTAGATTTTCTGTGATTTGTGTAGCTATCCGCCTACACTCATACACCTCATTTTTACATTTAACAACGCTTACATATTGTTTGTTTAACTATACGCTGAAAATCAGAGATACTGACTGACAGGTCGTGAATACAGGATTTTAAATATTACGAAATATTTTAAAAACATGCTGTAATGTGAAGGGAAATGCTTATCGTTGTGTCCAGACGTTAATTACTGGTTCCCTTACAGTGTTTTCATATATACGCCAATTACTTTAACAAATGTCTGATGGTATAATTTGTTACGGAATGACAGAAGTTGTTATTCATCTGGGAAGTGAAATACATCCATCATCTTCCTTCACTGTGTGTTATTATTATTGTTCCCTTGAGTTACGATTGAAACATAGGGTTACAACAGTAAATCCACAGTTTGTTCTGTTCTCTGTACTTCTCTTCAACCGGCCCCGCTAATGCCCATAGACTTCTGTATCCTCTTCAGACGAAATCCTCCATATCACCTGCAGACACTCACCCAACTCGTCGTTTTCCATTTATCTTCCATTCGAGCCATGGCCAGGTATACGGTGTCTTTTGACAGTCTCCTCAGCGTGTATCCGTTCCATCTGCATTTCATTTATTGTGGAACAGGTTGTTGATTGGTTTGTTCCTGGAGATTCTGGCTGCTAATTCTTTCTGGCTGGCCATCCGATCTTCAGTATGGAGGTGGTGAATGCAGCTGTTGATGAAAATCTTCGCTAACTTTGATGACGCGTTAGCCAAGTCTCTGACCCATATAGAGGCACTCATCGACTTGTCATTATAGTGTTGAAAATCCGAATTTCGCTGTTTGTGCT